CTGACTATAAAACCAACCAGTTACAGCTGCATCCTCTCAACAAAAGCTGTTCCTAAAGTTTTCACTGACATTATGTTCCCCTTCAAAGAGACTATCATCCACATGAACAGCTACCTAAACACAGCTTAGCTGCCTTCCAATTTCTTTCTAATGTGCAACTAAAAGTGGCTAAAGGACATATTTCTTAGATTAGATATAAGATAATCAACTTGCATAAAGAAGGGGAATGTCTAAGGTAAATAAGTAAAAAAATAGGAGTTTCCAAATCTGGAGTTCAAAAAATGATCATTAAACATAACACTTATGGCAACTGTGCAAGACCTGGTAGACCAACAAGACATCTGAAGTATAAAACTATATCTAGATAAGCCATAGTAACTCTAGAAACAATGATCTGTAGACTGATTAATTAAAATCCACCATAAACTACTTCAAGAAACGCAAGCTGAAGTTTTTGGAACTGCCCCCACAGCCCCCTGACTTGAGCATCATTGAATATCTGTGAGTATCAAAGCATGGCTTTGCTGTTTCACTCTCAAACATGAAACATGAAACACTTTACAATGTTAGGAGTATTTTGATGGTCCTGACATTGTAAATTAGACCTTTTTTTCTCTGCCTTTCCCAAAAAGTCAGGACATTTTTGTCCTGAAAACATACAAAAACAAGCACACAGACAAATTATCGCTGGATGGGGAGTTTTCAGAAGAAATGTAAGTCTTCTCTTGCTACAGAACAGCATTTAGGCCTTCAAATCTTTTACTCTTCAGCTTTATGAACACAGCAGAAGGCAAAGTCTCTGAGGAGGAGAGTGAAAGTGTGAGCAAGAGAGAGAGAGTCGACAAGAGGAGAATCAGAGAGAAGAGCTCAGAAAAAAAAAAAACAAAAAAACTTTAATACGAACTGCTCAAAGCCTACAGTTTGAAAGGCGTCATTTCTGACATCAGGAGATGCTTCATTTCAAATGGAGAATAAAACCGCACTCAGTGCTTCAAAGAAACAGCCAAGGACGCTCCTCCAGACCACACAATCTGGGAGTGATTCAGACTTTCATCAAACCCTAATCATCTTCTTATTCTGCTTACATAAACACACAAATACATGTCTGTGTTTTCCTTATCCATTAACACTGTCTAAAGACTGCTGTACACTCTTGAATAACAGCAGTCTGCAAGTCACACTTTATGAATCAAAATTTGTGAATAACTGTGCAATATCACTTATTTTGTCAGAAAAGCACAAAACCTTCAACAACCTGATGTAATTTCAGGCAAGCAAGTGAAAATACATATATATTATTAGTCTAAATCATCGAGGATTTTTCTCCTACAGTCTTTATTCAATCATGCCATCACATCTCAAATTTAAAATACATGGCAATAGTAGGGAGCTAGAACCTGGGGCACACTGTTGCTGCTGCTCTAATCCAGCGCTGCTTTGGCTGCTCTGCAAAGCCAGAGTAATGATTGGAACTCCAGTTGGCAACCGCTAAAGTTGTGACAGGATTTTGGCTAAAAGCTTACTAAGACTAAACATTGGACCTTATTCAAAATGTGTCATATATAGAGTGAAAAACAGTTACAAAGTGAAGTTGCTTAGTTACAGGGTGAATCTCTGGCAAATTATCATCAATATGGCAAGTTATTAAGTTTTTTGCATAGTTTTTAACCTGATTTGTGGCTAGCTAACTAACATGAGGTAAAAAAAAAGGGACTGGCTATATAGCACCAATGTTAACTAGTTGACACAGCAGTTATTTTTGGAAACTCCACACATCTAGAGCTAGAAATAATGTTATTGACAGTGGTTTATATTATTTGTACTCATATATGTCTTCAATATCTCAAAGAATAGCAGTATAAATTGTGTATTGATGTTTCCCCGGGGGGCCCTTATAGGCCCTCAGAGTATGCCTATTTTCTGAACATAAAAAAAAAAAAAATGAATAAATAATAAAATTATCCAATATTTTTTTTTCTCAGGGGTTTATAGGTATGTGATAATATGTCTGGTTCAACACCGTAAATGTCTTTTGCGAGCTCCAAATGTTCATGTTTAATCTAAAATGGCCAAAAATGTTGATGTGAATTTCTTTTACTTTATTGCTAACGTAGTACTGACACCATTGGGGTGCTAGCAGAAATTAGGCTTATTCCACAGGTATTGTTTTTTCCAAGGTTTTAGTATTTATGGCCTGAGCTGAGGGTCTATCACTAATATGAGTCACAGTTAACCCATGCTCAATAATGTGCATCCATGCTCAATAATTTCCAAGTACATTAATACAACTAATAGCGCATTTTTTTAGCGATTTTCACATAAAAGACCTCCAATTATGCACTAATAAAGATCATAATGAATAATGTTTGCACAGTGAATGAGCCATTTAGGAATGTTTCATTTGGGCTCTTCTGACCAAAGAACAAGACCTTTAACCATTAGTGTGTGTTCTTTAAAATAAAGTGTTACAGATTTTCCTCTTCGTATAATGAGTGGTTGTGCTGGCCATGAGCAGTGACAGTCATCAATCTGAGGGGTGTGGGGGTGTAATGCAGATCCAAAAAAAATATCATAGCGAGGAAAATCTAGGTTGATGTGCCCTTAATATTGATTTGTTGTTGACTGTTTTTGGGCCCGTGGTCACCCCCTGAAGCATTTCTGCTTTAATCCATTTCTAAATCCTAAAGATGAGCTGTTTCAAGTTGACAAATAAATACATAGATAAGAAAAATATATAAATAACATCTTTTGGCATCATATATGACTGGCTTAGTTATGTTTTATATATGACCTAATTTCTACAAAAGTCTGGGTGTCCCTGCTCTAGACTTTTGGGGTCACAATACTGTTGTGGTCACAATATCTGATGCATATGTTGCTCTGTATTACTGTCATTAAGCACATGCTTAATAATACACCATACGACTAAATAACAAACTTCACAATGTACAGTAAACTGCATCTGGAAGCAGGCCATGCAAATTGATTTCCATGCTCTGAAACCTGACCCCCCCTCTCTGAAACAAAAACAAACACCACATGCTGACATAATGCGCTCTACACATGCTTTGGTCTCCGTCTCCTTGTCAAATATAATATTTTCAGAAACTCTGGCAATAAGTAATAGTAGGGAAAAGAACGTAATGTGTATTTGTAGGTGTAAGTACAGGATCCTTTCGTATTTATGAATGTTTTGATGAATCAGGATAAGAAGAAGTAGTGCCAGACCAAAACAGACGCAGTATTGATGTTTGTGAGGAGTCTTTGTGTTGGTGAGGAAGAATAAGATACCTCATATATGAGGTATATGGAGTGGATTTTGGTCGTTTTCCAAACAGGATTGCTCACCGATGTTTGGCATGATGCCACACTGAACAGTCGCCGCCATTTTGAGGACCAAATCAATGAGTGCCTGCACTAGCACAATGCCTTTAATTTGCTGTGCTTTGTGAATGATTCACCTGCAAGAAGCGGCAGAAGCCGAGAATGACGAGACTGCACAGACTAATCCAGCTCAGAGCCCCTGCACTGTATAGTTTAGTGTTTTTCTCTGCTGTTCACACCTTCTTCGGCTCAAGAAGGGATTAATTAGCTAATAGTATCAGGTATTTTAACCAGGAAACCACAATTATGCAGTGCAGGGGTTGCAGGACTGGAGCTGGGAACTCTGCACTAACTGCACTAGCAAACTTACCAAATCACGTCTGTCGAAACACAACATAGTTTTCCGACCCACGACATTCAGTCTTATATGTAACGTCTATGTTTCTCCATTCAAACATCATTTAAATCTCCAGAAACGTAGAAGTAAATTATACCCGGCTGTTTGCAGCTCCATTAGGGGGACGACTGTTTATCTGTCAGCTGTTAACATTAGCAAAAGTTCTCTAAAGGCTAGCATTGTTCATGTCTGTGTTAATTAGCTGATGTTGTTACCCTCCTTTGATGACAAAGAGTTTTTCTCCTCTTTATGCAGCACCATGGGATATTTCACCCACTCAGATGTGAAGAGCTGGTAGGCTTCTGTGCTTTGAAATGCTTTGAGAGACTCTCCAGAATAGAGAGGGGTTGTGTATGAGATAAATATAAATCTCAGGAAAACACAAATTTGGTAGCTTTCCACCAGTTTAAATAGCCATCTTTCACCTCTAGTTACATTCATGTGGAGCAGCGAAGCCAGAAATTCAGTTTCAAATATGATGGCCACAACAGAAAAATCACATGACTGAAACTCTAGGATAAAACATAGCCGTAAGTTAACCTGTTTCTGAGCTATGAAACTTAGAAGATGTGCGAACTGCCCACAAACTGTGGGCTTCAGGTACTAAGGGTTAATGAACTGGTCCCTGGGTGAGACTGTCTGATGCTGAAAGACCTGAAACTCTCAATGACCCCAGCTTACATCATTGATGAAGTACATAAGAAGATGTTTGTATCAACAATATTTGAAAACTGGTACTTCAAACAGCTAACTGAACACTCGAGTGAACATGCCTTTCCCTAGCGACTATTTAATAATGCAATAATTTATATTTTAACAGTATATCAACATTAGAGCTTGAGACTTCTGAGGATTAAACTGCAGATCTGATCATCCCACAGAAAAAAGTGTGAGTTCTAAAAGAAGCTGGACTGAACAGTGGTCAGTAGTGTGGTGCTGTCCAGGCTGATTCACATTGCTGTCAAGCAGTTGGTTTAAGGAGTGTGAGTGCATTGGTACCTCTGAGAGAGATAAAGAAGAGAAAGAGAGAGAGGTAGAAAATGAAGAATCAGGAGAGCAAGGTAGAACCGTAATGCTCAGACACACATGGCTAGTACAAGGCTAATGTAGCTAACAGGTAATGGAAGCTTATATACACCAGTTAGCATCATGCAAACCACATGTATATCATCACATACTTGCACTGTCTGCTCAGCTTCATTTGGGGTAGGAGGGAAATTGGGTAAATTCTATTTTTGGCCAAACTATCACTTTAAAGTTCACTATAACACACACTCACGTGTCCAAATATCTCGGGCAGACCGAGCAGCTGTCCAATAAAGACTCCGAGACAGATGAAGACAGCGTTGAACTGGCCGATGGAACCGCGCCACTCCCGGGGAGAAATCTCTCCCAGATACATCGGCAAAGCGCTGAGAGATATTCCTGAGAGAGATAGAAAGAATATATAATCAAAAATTATACTGTTTATATGTGATTGTTGCCGTATCAAAACTTTGTAACTCCAATTTTTATGGAAGCCGATTTTTTTTCTCCTGTTTTTGGCAGCAGTATTACTTCATCCAAATGTTAATATCTTATTTTCTTGACATTTTTAAGTATGTCAAAATACTGTATTAATAAATTCCAAGAAAGTAAGTCATCATTTTGACATACTAAAGCTTTGTGTATATATGTATATATATATATATATATATAGAGAGAGAGAGAGAGAGAGAGAGAGGGAGAGAGAGAGAGAGAGAGAGAGAGAGAGAGAGAGAAAGAGAGAGAGAGAAAGAGAGATTTGCATATATAGATACAGATTTGCTCTAGGTAGTTCAGGTTGGCTGGAAGATGCTTGTGAACCACACAGTTCAAATAGTGCTTCAAATTCTCAGGTGGACTGAGATCTGGACAAGACGCCAAGTACCTGCAGAGGAAAAGCATCCTGACAACATGATGCATTGAGGAATGAGCAGTGTTAGATTTGCACCACACATAAATAGCACTGGAAACTGTGCCCCATACACTATATTATGCACTACTTTGGAGTTCCACCATTTTGTGGTGGTGTCCAAAAACATAGTGCAGAAGATACAGTGCACTCAAACAATCCCACACTGCACTGCAACAACTAGCGTACAACCGATGTACCCTAGTGGACAGGGGATACCCACAATACACTGTATTGTTTGGTTTGAAGATTCAGATATCACTTTTCTGAGTACTATTACTGAGCCCAGCTACAGGTAGTTTCACTCGAAAGAGGCCCTGAAAATTCTATAATATCTCTCGCTAGAACAAAGCAATCTGAACGAAACAATGTGCAATGTGCTCCTCAGTATATGGAGCTTCGAACAACCTGGGATACCCCTGCATGGGAGCGATGAGGTAGGCGCCGGACAGCCGTTGCAACGTTTAAGCTCCGTTTGCAACTTCTGGGTGCATATCACCATACCCCTTAATGTGTCTGGCAGAAAACAGAGATCACTTCCTGCATTGCATGTAATGCAAGCGATTACACAGACGTTAATATTTAGACGTTATATTTTTTTGGTTCAGATTGTTTCATCCTAATGGGAGTTACAGCAGAATATTCGGGGCCTCTTTCAAGTGAATCTCCCTGTACAATGGTGACACCTCTACAGATCTGTCTTCAGACCTGTTACAGATGTAAGTAAGCTCTCCTCATGTGTGCAGTGGAACTAGGGGATATATGGTGGTATGATGTTGGTAGTGTTCATGTGATTGAATCTGCTGTCGCACGGTTGGAAGCAAACCTGTAGAACATCATACTTACTTACATACATACTTAATGATGTTAAATCATTTACTACCATCATGAATTCTGTTCCTTATAATAATGTTCTATATAGTGATCCAGATTTTTAGCAATATTGTTTTGAATTGTGGCCAAAAAGTCAATTTTTGTCTCATCTAACAACAAAAACCTTCTTGCACAGTGGAGCTCAGTCACTCTGATGCTTTCTGGCAAGCTCCACACTTTCATATTGCTTTGATATGTTTTTTTCTTGAGTAATGGCCTCTTTCTAGCCACCTTCCCATACAGACCAGTTATATGCAGAGCTCTTGATGTCATTGACTGGTGCATCTTCACTCCAGTCTTAGCTTCCGAACTCTATAACTCCTTCAAAGTAATTGTTTGCCTCTCTGTGGCCTCCCTCACAAGTGCCCTTCTTGCTCTGATGCTGGGTTTTGAGGGACAGCCTTGTCTATGTAGTGCTGGGTGGGATAATAATGTTCAGAGCTTCTCTGCTTTACTTTTTTCTTTATTTAGCAGATCTGTTGTATAACAACAACATAACCCTCAAGGTCATGTGCCATCATGATGATCTATGGTACTTACCTTTGGCTCGTGCTTGCAACCAAACCTCAGCCATTATTTATTCATAATAACCCACACCCACTCGTGTTCTTTTGCTTAAATGCCCCATATGTATTACATACATCAATATGTAATAATAAAATGTCCCATATGTATCATGTACTGTATATGTGAGCAGCTATATGAAAGGACATGCTTTTGCAGTCTGTGCAATGTGCAGGTGCCCCAGCTTTGACTGCTACACTACAAGCATTTCACTAGTCTTTCTTTCTTATTACATCCATCTTTGGCTGACCCCTTCTTCACCCACAGTCTTCATTGAACAGAACGTGAGTTTGACCCCAGGCGGGATGACGCAATTTCATTCAATCTCACCACAGCGGCTATCATGATGCAATCTGTATGCTATCACAAATGATGACCCATTTGACAGCAAATCAAATGCACTGACATGACTGTCCGATATATGAACTGAACATTGAATTTAAAATATGACAAGAAGACAGAACTATATTCTCAACTTTGTGAGCAACGTTTCAAAACACTCTAAACCCTTAGAAGTCGCCGTTATCATTGGCGATAACAGCAACAACAAAATGATTTCTAATTTGTAGCTAATTTGGAAAAATGTGCAGATTTTAAACTTTCAATTTACACCACATTTGTGCACCCAGTCTTGTTTTGCAGGTAAAAAAGCATCTTTTTGCCATATTTGTGTCATTTTGGACATCAAAACAAACAGAAAAAGTCAGAAGTTCAGATTAGAACCTGTTAATACAGAATGTACAAGAATTATAAATATCATTCATTATGTAACTTCCTTATGTAACAGATTAAGTAATTCTGTGAATATATTTAAACAGTATAACAATAATGACTCTCAGCATCTAATGCTGCATGTACATGCTGGCATTAATAAAAACATGTGACTCAAGTTAGGCTCAAAATCTGCTACTTTACAATTACAGACTGCAGTCCATCTAGCCGCCTTTTACCCTGTTCTTCAATGGTCAGGACCCCCAATAGACCACCACCGAGCAGGGTATTATTTGGGTGGTGAATCATTCTCAGCACTGCAGTGACACTGAAGTGTATATGTCAGTGTGTAGCACATATATTGTTGTAAATGTATGATCTGTATTGCAATTTATGAAAAATGGTAACTTCATTGGATAAAAAATATATTAAATTACATTTTGAACCACATCTATTGGTCCATTCATCATGAAATATTCATACAATGTCAAGGTCAGTTTTTGATTTGACAGTGCTCAAATAAATCATAATCCATTTCTCTAAATGACAACTGTTTATGTGTTGTTTTGCGTCTTATGGAGTCAATTTGTGTTTCCTTGATTTCTTTTTTTTAAACTGTCTGACTGGACATTCGATCAGTTCTCTCGCGTGTGCTTTTGCTGTGTTCTCTGCATGTGCTTTGATTATTTTCAGCATCTTCAGCAGTAATTCCTCTGAATCTGAAGTGAACATGGTCTGCGGTTTGATGGTTTTGCTGTTTGACCGTTTGAGTCCAGCTGTGTTCTCTGACGTGGTCTGCTCTTAGATGAGAGGAGTGTGTTCTCATCAGTGTTTGTGCCCCTGCTTTATGTGTGTGTGTGTGTGTGTGTGTGTGTGTGTGTGTGTGTGTGTGTGTGTGTGTGTGTGTGAATGTGAGGATGTCTCTGCTGGTGTTTAGTGTGTAAAAGCAGCAGGTTTTCAGCCCTATCTCTCAGCACAGCAGCCCTGTACTGCTTAACACACACATGCACACACAGACACAGACACACACACACACACACATACACACACACACACACACACGCACACACACACACACACACACACACACACACACATTCCAATTTACCATGAAGAGACAGCCATTGGAGTGACACACACTACAGGCTTAAAGATCCTCCTGACAGTCTCTCTCTCTCTCTCTCTCTCTCTCTCTCTCTCTCTCTCTCTCTCTCTCTCTCTCTCTTTCTCTCTTGCTCTCTCTCTCTCTCTCTCTCTCTCTCTCTCTATAGAGCTGCAAAAAAAGAATATGTTGATAGTTAATAGTTAATTATGTGTTTGTATAAATGTACGTATGGTTGGTCTCAGTCTCCGATGTTGTATATTTGCTCTGTATGTTCTTTCTTCATGTCTGTCATGTGTGTCCAGCCAGTTGGCACTTTAGAGCACAAGTGGACAATTGACCAGTTTCTGTTGCTAGGTTGGACAAAATTATAAATATGATATTATAATGCATGTTTTGGAACAACATATGCTGCCGTTTAGACCACGTCTTTTTCAGGGACATCTATGCTTCACTCAGCATCACAACACCAACCCACATGTTACAGCGTGTTACAACAGCGTGGCTGCATAATCAGAGAGTGTGGTGCATTACGAAGCACACAGGGTTGGGATGTAATGGAATACAAGTATTAGGGAGACATATTCAGAATACAGAAATGAAGTATCTGTATTCAGTCCAAGTTATATTTTGCCAAGACAGTATTCAGAACATAGTTATTTTTACATTTTTAGGAGAATACTTTTAAAATACTTACTGTATCAATAAAAAAAAACATAAAAATAAAATTAATTTATTAGTATGTTAATTTATTTAGTATGTTATTAGTATGTTAATATATTATCTATTTTAGAATCAGATAAACACATTTAGCAAACATGGTCTTTAGATGAATGAATGCTAAAGAGGACCTTAATTAACTGATTTGCAAACGCTGAAGTCCCTACTGAAGTCTGAGTAGACTGAGAAATCAATGTGATGATCAGTTATTAATCTCAGTGATACTGAGCTCTGCTAAAGACTGAATAGACTGATAAATCAATGTGATCAGTTATTAATCTCAGCGTTACTGAACTCTGAATGTCACGTTTCCGGGTTCTCCTCTCTTGCCTAACACACTCCACAACTCCATTTCCCATAATTCCAGTCCCGATGATGTCATCAATTCCTCCAATCACACGCAACTGCCTCGTTCTCAGTCACCTGAATTCTAACGCAATTCACCTGTGCATTTGTTTGTCTCAGAACTTAAATAGTCCTTGGTTTGTTCTCCTCATTGCGAGGTATTGCCATTTACTTGGA